CCTCGGGGCCTGCTGGGAGCCACAGCCGCGGCACTGACCCGCCCCGGCCCGTAGGCTACCGCGTGTACCAGCTGGACGGGAACTACCCCGAGAGCTCGCACAGGGTGCTGGACCACGAGACCTTCATCCTGAACCTGACTGAAGCCAATGCAGCCGGGCCAGGGGCCACGCCGCACTGGCACCGCCTGTACAGGGCACGCGAGGCCTACGGGCTGCCCAACGCCTTCCCGGCCGACTGGGACCAGCTGCTGCGGCGCTTCCAGGACGACGAGCGCCTGTTCCAGCGCTTCTGGTTCCTGTTCCACAAGGGGCACCCGCCGCGCGAGCCCTGCCGGGACGCCTGCAAAGCCGCGCTGCTCTGCGCCCTGCGCACCGGCCGTACCGATGACCCTGCCCTGTGCCGCAGCCTGCGGCCCGCCCTGCCCTTCGCCCACATCCAGCGCCTCTGGGACCAGCGCAGCTTCTGCTGACCCACGCGCAGGGGAAGCTTGCTGTGCTCAGGCCCTGCCTGGGGCATAGACGGATGCCAGCCCCGGGCGCAGGGGGCCCTGCTCGGCTGTGCCAGGAGGACGCCGGGGATGGGGTACGCTCCGCCATCCCCTTCCTGGCTGCAAGGGGGTGGGGGGGAGAGAGACAGGTGCATCGGGACCAGGTCTTTGCAGAGGTGAGGGGAGGGGGGTGGCAGATGTAGGGGGCAGCGGGGTGCTGCAGAGCAGAGTGGATTTAGTTCAATCAAATCAATTTCATGATTTAAATCAGTCAGGAAACCTCGCTTTAATCGTCTTCTGCAAAAAGTGCATTTTCGTTGTTTTAATACCCTCTATTCCAGCGGTTCCCAATGTGTGGTACACATGCCACCAGCGGTTTGCATTCATGATTTATTATAATTGCTTTACATGACAAACATTTGCTGGCGGTACTTAAGGCTGCAGTTTTAAACTGGTAGTGTGCAATCTGTCAGTGGGAACCGCTGCTCCATTTAACTTCTTGAAACTTTGCACTTTTAGAGGGGGGAGGGCTTGACAGTGTGTGCGCAAGCTTAAAGAGAGACGAGGGCTCACGGTGGGTAACCGGGTCTGTTCTCTCTCACCTCCGCATACTGCTGTTAACAAGGATGTTACCTCTGGAGACAACAAATTCTCCCTAGGCCAGAAGAAGGGCGTTTGTGTCCAAACGCTTAGAGAACAATTTTTCCAACTACTTAGTTGGTCTAATAAAAGATACCACATCTACCCAAAGAACCTCATCGGTCTATGATCTCTGGACACACAAGTCTAGTTTGAGAACTGAAACTAAGCTTCACAGAGACACTTAACAGGATCTTCTTGACCGAGCTCTCGTTCCCAGTGGGTAGATTAGTAAAGGAAACCAATCTATAGAGGAGCCTCTGGGAACCCCGTGAGATTGGGTGGGCCCCTAATATAGTCCACGGCTATATTGTTGTGATCTACTGATAAAACTTCTAAAAAAATTACATGAATATACTAATAGTATATATTTAGAAGGTCTAACCCCTATGCCCTGATGATAGCTTTGAGCTTAAATTTATCTTAAAACTATTGTTACATAAGTTTATTTTTTAAAGCATCTTTAAAAAATAATGATTTAAAAAATCTGGTTTAATTTTTTTTAAAATTGTTGATTTTTATCCACCCTGCTTCAGAGCCTGCTGCCACCCGCGCCCCTTGTGCAATAAATGACGGTGAAGGACCCAAGCTGGGGCTACGTCTGGGGGGCGGGGGAAGAAGTCTGCAAAGGATGCGGGGAGGATAGGCGCAGCCGGTGCAACCCCGCCGCGTGGCGCAGGAGGCAGTGGAGCCGGGCCGGGCTGGTGGAATGGGTTTATTAACGATTTAGTACAACACAGATCTCTTGTTATAGCAGAGATAGTGGCTGGGGGCCCGGAGCCTGCGTGGCACCCCAGCACCTGCCCCCGTGGGGTTAACCAGCGGTTAGGTCGCATGCACGGGGCGCAGGCCAGGCCCCTCGCTGCCCGCAGCCCCAGCGATGCTGGCGCTGACTGTGGCCACGGCGCCCCATCTGCTCGCCCTCGCCCGGCGTCCCGGCCCCGGGGCTGCCCCAGGTGGGGGGCGAGGCTGTGCCCATCCCGTGTGGTCCGGGCTCGTGGGGCTGGCTCACGGAGTCTGCGTGCCCGGACGCTTGGCCTTCAGGCTGCCCAGCAGGGTCTGGACACCCCGGCGCACGGTGGAGCCCACGCGCCGGGCCACGGAGTCGGCAGGCGGTGCCGGCAGGCACGACGTGGTGGCCTGGGGCCGCGCATCCAAGCACTTCTGGTAGCGCAGCTGCGGCCGGGAAGGGGGCATAGTTGTGGGTGGCAGCGACACTCCCGCTCCACTTGCTCGATGCGGGGAGGGGGCAGAGGAAGCACTCACCATGCAGGCGGCCTGCACGGCCTCGCTGAGCCCGGCGGCATTGGGCTCGCACCACACCGAGTGGCAGCGGAAGTCGCCGGGGGCACGGGCCATGATGAAGGCGAAGGAGCGCACGTCTCGTCCCACGCCCATGAAGGACAGGAAGCGCACGCGGCACTCACACAGCACCACCTCCGTCTGCTGGGACACGGCCATCAGGGGGGCCTGCTCCTGCCCCCCCCCAGCACCGCCCCCGTCTGCTGGGACATGGCCATCAGGGGGGCCTGCTCCTGCCACCCCCTGCCCATAACCACGGCCCCCAGCACTGCTTCTGTCTGCTGGGGCTGCAGTGGCAGGAGGTCGTGCCCATGTACACTAGGGACCCCCACCGCTGCCCAATGCCTGGTGCTAGGGTGCTACGCAGGCAGCGGGTGCGGATCCGAGCCCCAGGCTGGGCACAGGATAACGGGGGTCAAGAAGCACAGCACTCACCTGCTCGTGGGTGATGGTGAGGGTGGCAGGGGCCACACTGACAACCACGGGTGTCCAGTGCTCCTTGCTGCTGGCCAGCGCCGATTCCAGGGCCGTGTTGATCACATCCATGCCTGCAACACCAGCCGTCAGGCCTCAGCTCCTGTCCTCACCCCACCCACCACGCCCTCCGCCCAGCCGCTCCGTACCCACGGGCTTGGTGACGGGGACGCTGCCCAGGTAGCAGACTTGGAACCGCTGCACCAGGTCGCTCTTGGGCGCCGGGAACTCCACTACAGGGACCAGAGCAAGAAGGGAGCTACTGGGGACCCTGCCTGCACCCGCACGGGGGGCTGGGGTGCACCTAGGCCAGGCCAGCCTTTTGCCTATCACCTCCATCTATCATCCCATTGGCCAGCCCACAGCCCTTGTACCATCCCAATGGCCAGCACCTCCAGGCCTTTGGCCAACACTGGACCCCAGAGCCTGTCCCCCCTGGCTGGCTCCAGAGCCCACCTCCCATCCCACTGGCCAGGCCCCTGCCCCCTTCCCACAAGGCAGCCCCCAACCTCCCTTCCCGTTCCCCTACCCAGCCCCTCCGCTGCCCAGGGGCTGGGGACGCCCCACCTTGGAAAGGGATCTCCACCATCTTGGAGTGATCCAGCGCCAGGCCATTTGTCAGGGCCCGTGCACTGCGGCGCTCCACCATGATCTGGGGGCACAGGGAGCACGGGGGTCAGCCTGCTCCCTTCACCAGGATCTGTTCCCCCCCGCCCCCCCGCGGGCATCTTCCCAGAGAGCCCTGGGGCACGAGCCCACCGCAGGCTGAGATGATGGGGCAGGGAGGTCCCCAGGAGGGTCTCAGCCTGGCACAGACCTCGTGCAGGCTGGTGGACGTGGGGTGGGGACCCCCGGGAGTGCGGGTCCCGGGAGGGTCACCTTGGCGCAGATCTCGTGCAGGCTGGTGGCGATGTTCTTGGCCGGGGCCTCGCACCGAAACACGTGACACTTCAGCATCTGGGTCAGCTGGTCCCGGGCCACATAGGCAAAGTCCCTGCGGGTGGAGGGGGAGAAGGGGGGAACGGCTGTCAGAGCTGCTGTGTCCCTCGGGCATTGGCCTGTGGGCAGTCTGCAGACAGTCCAGGGACACGTGAATGACCTTGCTGACCCCTGCAGCCAGCATACAGGCCAGGCCCTTGTCTCTGTGGGGTCAGCGAGCGACGTGGGAGGTGCAGAATGAGACAGCAGCAAGCTGGGGTGTAGGGGGGGCAGGGCCCCCCACAGAGATGGTGTCCTCCCCCAGGACAAGGGGGCCAGGGGAGAGGGCCCCAAGTTATGGGGGGTGCAGCCTGGGGCCGCGGCGCGGACGGTGCCATACCTCTCCCTGTGTCCGCGGGAGCAATAGAAGAGAGCAGAGACAGCGTTAGGAGCCCCCCCGTCCAGTCCCCTTGCCCACAGGGCAGGATCCCCGCGGTCCACTGCCCCCACGCCCACGCAGCCCCAGGGCATTCCCCGCCAGCCGGCCCTACCTGCCGTTGTCGCGCCCCACGCCCCAGACACGGATGCCGGCCACGGGCTGGGCGTGCAGCAGGGCCTGCCCCCGCGGGTCCACCAGCCGCAGTGTCTCGCTCTCCAGCACCAGCAGCAGGTCCCGGCCCTGTGGGGAGAGGGAACGATGTGCCCACCTCCCCCCGGCCGACTCCCCACCCACCCAAACCAGCCCGTGCCCAGCTCACCTGGCCCCAGGGGCCCACAGACTCGGGCTCGGGCTCCGGCGCGTGCAGGGAGAGCTGGCGGATGCAGTTGTTGACGGCAACGCTGCTCTGGCCCGGGACCAGCTCCTCCTCGCTCATCTCCACCCAGCCCAGCGACCGCACGGCGAAGCACTGTGGGGACAGCACAGCGCACCCTGACGCGCCACGCCGTCCCGTGCCCCACACGCCCAAACCGCACCGGCCCAGGCCTACAGCTGATGGGGGGCTGCCTGGGCCGGGGGGCATCCACCTCTGCCCTCCCGAGCTGTTCAGGGTATATGTTGCCAAGCAACTCAGATCACGCGTGACGGCTCCTCCCAGCACCACGGCAACAGTACCCGGGCAGCCACCCCAACCCGGCGCCACGGCAACGGTACCCGGGCAGCCACCCCATCCCGGCGCCACGGCAACGGTACCCGGGCAGCCACCCCATCCCGGTGCCACGGCAACGGTACCCAGGCAGCCACCCCATCCCGGTGCTGTAAGAGCAGCAGCCAGGGAGGCAGCCGTACCTTAGATCCTGGGGGCACCGCGCCCTCCTCGGTCTGGGAGGAGCTAGAAGAGAAAGAAGCTGCTTACCCCAGAGCCCTGCTCCCACACCGCGACTGCCCCTCGCTGCCCAGCACCCCCTTGCTCTCTCCCCCCGACCAACCGGACAAGGGGAAAATCCCTGTCTGTCCCCGGGACGAGCCTGAGCGGGGGACGAGACCCTCCAGGGCGCAGCCCCAGCAGGGCACTGGTACCGCTGGGGCATCCCGGCTCCACCACCCTGCCATGCTGCTGCGCAGCTCTGGCCTGCCCTGCTGGCAGCCCCAGCAGGAGTCTGGGTGCAGACGGTGCCCAGTGTCGCACCCCCACCCCGTGCCCCCCGCTCACCTCATGTCTGGCGAGGCCGTGGGCAGGTTGGGCAGCTCCGCGTCCTCCGCGCTGGGCTCTGGGGTCACAGCCTCTGCAGGGTCATCCTGGGGGAGACCATGCGCTGTGACAGGGGCACCGCAGACCCCTGGGACCCCCCATGGCCTCCCCCCAAGCCCCAATCACCTTCCAGAAGTCGCCGTTCTCAAAGCGTTCGGCCTGCGCCAGGCCCGTCCAGGTGAGCTGCAGAGAGTGGCAGGGGGCGGTCAGGGGCAGGGGCAGGGGCAGAAGCCGGGGCAGGGGTGGGGGCAGGCCCCGGCTCACCTGGGGCTCGTCAG